GATGTTCCTAGGAGGTGTTGGGTACAGGGGGTGGCGCAAAGATGGGGACAGACCGTCAAAATCTAATAAACCAGAAGGAAACTTTATTCTAGAAACCAAATCCCAGGAAAACCAGAAGCAAACTTAAAAATAATAATAATAATAATAACAATAACAATAATAACAATACTACCACTGCGGGGCACAGACGCTTCTCTGAGACCACGGCCAGGGGTGGTGTTTGTTAGGCAAAGGCAGGTTTCTGAGCCCACCTTCTATAGTTAGGGCACCAAGCATTAGGTCTGAACAAAGGAACTTTTAAAATCTTGCCCTGCCCATAGGTCAGTCAACGTAGATCCTAAGGAGCGGAGTGAGTTCTAATGTCAATGGGTAACTAGGCAGATATCATGAAATATGTTTCAGAGTAGATTACAGCACAAGTCACTAATTGCAAGAAAACAGGTGTCTTTAGCAATTAGTCAGAAAAGGGACTGCTAGCAATACCAGAAGGTTAATAAATTAGAATTAGTTGGTTCTTAGGCTGGAAACTTAGAAGATAGCAGAAAGCTTTTCACACTATCTCAAGGTAAAACTCAGATACAGACTGCCATACTTTACAATCTCCATTATTAGAGCTCCATAGTTAGATGGTGTTTGTACTTGTACACTGTGTCTCCTGGTACCTCCAGGTGTACACAAAAGGGTGTCAGTTTCCCATAACAGAGACAGTGCCTAATCCAGAGGTCACGTATTTCTGTCTCCTAAAGGTTAACTCAGTTCATATCTGTCGTTCATCAAGTATGGCCAGGACAAACTCTCAGTTTGCAGAGAGAAGCTCCAGCCTTGTAAATAGAACAGCCAGTTGTAAAATGAAATGACCTAAACTGATAGGGGCTACTTAAGCGTCTGAGAAAATAGCTCACTGTGAATAATTGATTCTTGATCTGCTGTTCTCATTCCCCTAGACTTATAACTTTATATCTTTTTATTTATACATTCTTATTTCTGGAATCTACATTTTTATTTTCTTATTTTTGGACTCTTCGGAGGGCATCAGTTATTACTGGCTCTTTGTTAGGGATTTCGTGCCCCCAAACTGAGCATGGTTTCAGAAACTACCTTACACCTATGCCCTCCTTATCCAATCACAAGGAGATAGGACATGAACTCCCCTGGTTATGGTGTCTCCCCTTTAAAAGTTCTCCCTCTCCCTGGCTCGGGCTGCATTTCCCTCACCCACTATGTTGGCATGCTGGATGTATAGCCAAAACTCGAGTTTGAATATTAAAAACCCTCTTGAGCTTTACATGGAAATCCGGTTCAATGGAGTTTTTTGGGGGGAATAATCACCTTGGGCATACAGACCCTTTTGAAACTATGAGCTAAGAGAGACCTTTATCTTCTCTCTCACATCATTCTGTCAGATATTTTGCCACAACAGCAAGAAAACTGTTTTGGTACCTCAGTAGAACTAAAGTTTGTTTTTCATCCAAGTTGTATCTTTTGAAATCTGGTGGAAATTGGTGACTTCCATGGGTTGGAAATGGAGAAGACAATGATCTTTGTCCTCCACACTTACGTGGAGACCCAGGTCGGTGGAGCTCCTCCATCTGTAGTGTTGGTCACTCTTGTGGCAATTGAAGGGGTAACTGCCACGGTCTCCGAATCAGCTCTTCTTTTTTGGTCTAGGGGTGCACACTGCCTTTTTACCCACGCCCCAATGGCTGACTTGTAAACAGAGGTGTGGATTTACGGGATCTTTGGTAAACACCACTGTTTTTGTCATGGTGTCTGGGGAAAATGTGAAGTGTGATGAGAAGATAGTGGTTTGGGAATCATTGTAAGCAAGACACACTGAAAGATACTGTGCAAGGAGGTGAATGATCTGCCTGCCAGCTGGACAAATGTCCACTAGATTCTGCTCCCCCAAGACCCACTCTGCCTCCCAACCCTCCCAATTCCACCTCATCATTCTTCCTGTGGTCAACACTTGGTGCGGGAGAATTATCTGTATTCTGTCAATCATGTATTTTAATAAAACGCTGATTGGCCAGGCAGGAAGTATAGGCGGGAAAACCAGACAGGAAGTAGAGATGATGAAATGAGAACAGGAGAATTCTGGGAAGCAGGGAGGTTCCTCTGCCATTCCTGCGCAGACCACCAAAGAGGCAGCATGTAAGCTGACAGCTGGAAAAGGTACCAAGCCGTATGGCTAACATAGATCAGAATAATGGGTTAAGATAAGTCATAAGAACTAATAAGTAGCCTGACCTAATGGGCCAATCAGCTTTATAACTTATAGAGATCTCTGTGTGATTGATTTTCCTTTGGGGCTTGCTGCCGGGGTACTGGGCGGGACAGATACCCCAACAAGCCGGCCCTCATACTACAAACAGTTCCCTGCAAATCTAGCAGACTCCACCTTCCAGATGAGCTGCCCCAATCTTTAGACTCTAAGACCCAGGGCACATCCAGTGCTCTTGTTCATCCTATCTCAGCACCAGCAAGGCTGCTGGGCCCTGCCCCCAACTCTGTTAGAACTCCACTACTCTGGTGCAGGCCCTACTAGCCCATCCCTGCAACTCTAGTAGACTACATAGGCCCAAGTAGAGCCCACACCAGTCAGAAGGACAACACCCCCTCCACTGGGCACCATATTCTACAACTTGGGAAGAAGACGTTGACTTTACAGGAGCCTAGATCCAGGTACTCATAGTACACACATCAGTGGAGACACCCTACCAGACCTGAAGACTTGCCAGTCACCAGAACATTTAGCCACATAAGGCTAGAGGACAAGAGAGGAAACAGAAAACAAAGGAACGAAGCACCTACGCAATAAAGACAAATGCAAGAACCAATACTAGACCTATAATCATCCCAAATCCAGTACTTAAATGCCAGTGTAAGAACACATTCAAAAACATAAAGGACAATATGGCACCATGAGAAACCAGTGGTCCTACAACAAATCATGAGCATTCCAACACAGCTGAAGCACAAGAAAATGATCTTAAAAATAATTTTATGAAGATGATAGCAGCCCTTAAAGAAGAAAAAAACTCTCTTAAAGAAATTGAGGAAAAGACAAACATTTGGAAGAAATCAACAAATCCCTTAAAGAATGACAAGAAAGCCAAGAAAAAACAGTCAAGCAGGTGAAGAAAACATTTCAAAGCCTGAAAATTAAAACAGAAGCAATAAAGAATACATAAACAAAGGGAATTCTTCAAAAAAAAACCTGGCTAAGTAGATAGAAATTTACTGATGCAAGCATCACCAACAGAATACAAGAGATGGAAGAAAAAATCTCAGGAATTGAAAATACAATAGAGGAAATTGAGTCATCTGTAAAAGAAATATATAATCTAAACAAATCAAAACACAAAACATACAAGAAATATGGGACACCATAAAAAAACAAAACCTAAGAGTAATACAGATAGAAGAATCCCAGTTCAAAGGCACAGAAAATATATTAAACAAAATCGTAGAAGAAAACTCTCTCAATGTAAAGAAAGAAATGTCCATAAAAGAACCAGAAGTTTGCAGAAAGCCAAATAGACTAGACCAAAAAGAGTCCCCTCAGCACATAATAATCAAAACACAAAACATACAGAATAAACAAAGAATATGAAGAGCTGCAAAGGAAAAATGCCAACTAACACATAAAAGCAGACCTATCAGAATTACATCTGACTTCTCAATGGAGATTCTAAAAGCCAGAAGAGCCTGAATAGACCTCTTGCAGACTCTAAGAGACCATGAATGTCAGCCAAGACTGCTATATTCAGCAAAACTTTCAATCACCATAGACAGAGAAAACAGATATTTCATGACAAAACCAAATTTAAGCAATACCTATTTACAAATCCAGCCCTACAGAAGGTACTAGGAAAAAAAAAAAAAAACTCCAACCCAAGGAGTTAGCTGCACCCATAAAAACACAGGCAAAGAATAATCTCACACCAACAAAACCCAAAGAAGAACACACACACACACACGCTATCAACACCACCACCAACAAAAATAACAGGAATTAACAAGCAATATCGCTTAATACCACTGGTCTCAATTCGCCTCTAAAAAGACACAGGCTAGGGCTAGAAAGATCTCTCGGTGGTTAAGAGCATTGCCTGCTCTTCCAATGGTCCTGAGTTCAATTCCCAGCAACCACATGGTGGCTCACAGTCATCTGTAATGAGGTCTGGTGCCCTCTTCTGGTCTGCAGACATACATGTAGACAGAATATTGAATACAGAATAGATTAATAAATATTTTTTTAAAAAGACGTAGGCTAACAGAATTGATACGGAAACAGGATCCATCCTGCTGCACACAAGAAACACACCTCAACTTCAAAGACAGACATTCCCTTGGAGTAAAGGGTTAGAAAAGGGTGTAGCTATCCTAATATCTCACAAAATAGACTTCTAACTAAAATTAATCAAAAGAGTTGAGAAGGACATTTTATATTCATCAAAGAAGAAATCCATCAAGATGAAGTCTCAATTCTAAACACCTATGCCTCAAATACAAGGGTACCGCATTTGTTAAAAAAAAATTACTAAAGCTTAAATCATACATTAAACCCCATACATTAGTAGTGGGGAGACCCCACTCTCAATAATGGACACAGAAACTAAACAAAGAAATAATGGGACAAATAGACTTTGTGACTCTAATAGACTTAACTGATATTTACAGGATATTTTTACCCAAACACAGGAAAATATACTTTCTTTTCAGAACCTTCTCTAAAGTTGATCATATACTCAGTCACAAAGCAAATCTCAACAGATACAGAAAAGTTGAAATAACCCCTGTATCTTATCAGATCACCATGGGTTAAAGTTGGAGTTGAACAACAACACAAACTACAGAGAGCCTACAAACTCGTGGAAATTGAACAACTCTTAACTGAATCATCAATGGGTCCAGGAAAAAATAAGAAAGAAATTAAAGACTTCTTAGAATTCACCGAAAATGAATCCAAAACATACCCAGACTTAAGGGACACAATGAAAGCAGTGCTAAGAGGTAGTTTATAGCACTATAGCACTAAGTGCCCACATAAAGAATTTGAAGAAATTTTACAATAGTGACTTAACTGCACACGTAAATATGGAAAATACAGAGTGTGGGTTATGTATATTATTCTGTTTTCTTTGAATTTTTTGACTGTGAAGGAGCTAAGCACAGAAAGTCTTTTTATTGTGTGTATATATATACATATATATATATATAATTCTTGCTTGATAACTGTTTTATTGTATATAATCTTGTTATGATAAAGTTAAAACCTTCCTTTTTATTTAGACAGAAAAGGGGAGGTGATGTGGGATTCCCCTATGTATGCTGTGAATACCATTAGTTAATAAAGAAATTGCTTTGGGCCATTGCATCTCAGAATAGGGCAAAGGTGGGAATTCCAAGCTGATAGAGGAGGAGAGAGTAGGTGAAGTCAGGGAGAAGCCATGCAGCCACTGCAGGAGAGAAATGTTAGACACTAACTTTTCTGGTAGGCCACAACTATGTGGCAAGATTCAGATTAATTTAAATATATTAATTTAAGGCTGTGGCTGGGCAAGAGGACTTGCATGTGTCGCTTCAGCTCGCGGGAGCGGAGGCGGCGAGGGCTGTGTGACTGGCAAAGGCGATACGAGGAACAGTGCCAAGTTAGATTTGGATTACCCTCTTCGAGTCCTTTATTGTGGAGTTTGTTCATTACCAACAGAGTACTGTGAATATATGCCTGATGTTGCTAAATGTAGACAATGGCTAGAGAAAAATTTTCCAAATGAATTTGCAAAACTGACTGTAGAAAATTCACCCAAACAAAAAGCTGGAATTAGTGAAGGTCAAGGGACAGTAGGGGAAGAGGAGGAGAAGAAAAAACAAAAGAGAGGGGGAAGAGGTCAAATAAAACAGAAGAAGAAGACAGTACCACAGAAGGTCACGATAGCCAAAATTCCCAGAGCAAAGAAGAAATACGTGACGAGAGTGTGTGGCCTTGCAACATTTGAAATTGATCTCAAAGAAGCACAAAGATTTTTTGCTCAAAAATTCTCCTGCGGTGCCTCAGCAACAGGGGAGGATGAGATCATCATTCAGGGAGACTTCACAGATGACATAATTGATGTCATTCAGGAAAAGTGGCTAGAGGTGCATGACGACAGCATCGAAGACCTTGGAGAAGTGAAGAAGTGATTCTGGAGTCATGTGTTTCTGAGCTGACCTGAGAGTTGACACGGCCAACAGAGAGGCCTTTCAGAAATATATACATATGTATATATGTGTATATATGTATCCTACAGTAAAACTGTAGACTCCTCATCTTTGGCATTCTCATTGTTCTGTACAAGGCTGCTTGGTTTATGTTTTTTGGTTTTTTTTTTTTAATTGCCAAAGTCTGATAGAGAGAGAGAGAGGGACTGTCATGCTTTTGCATGAATCTGAATTTAGTCAAATAAAACATTTTGGTTATTTGGTAAAAAAAAAAATGTTAATTTAAGATATAAGAGCTAGCCAATAAGAAGTGTGAACTAATAGGCCGAGCAGTGTTATAATAATACAATTGTTGTGTGATTATTTCGGCCTCCGACAACAGCAACCACATACCAAAATTAAATCAAGAGCAGATAGACAATTTAAATAGAGCTATAATGCACAAGGAAATATAACTAATTATTAAAAAGTCCCCCTCCAAAAAAGAGCTCAGAGTCAGATGGTTTTAGCACAGAATTCTACCTGACTTTCAAAGAAGAGCTAATGCTAATACTCCTTAAATTACTCTACACATTAGAAAAAGGAGGAATATTGCCAAATTCTTTTTATGAGGCCACAGTTACCCTGATACCCAAATCATACAAACCCCAACAAGAAAAAAGAATTATCGATCAATTTACCTCATGAGCTTTGATGCAAAAATACTCAGTAAAGTACTGACAAAGCGAAAACAAGAACACATCAGAATCCAGAAATGCAGGAATGGTTCAACACACAAAAATGAACCAATGTCATCCACCATATAAACAAACCGAATGAAAAAAACACATGATTATCATTCAACACCCCTTCATAATAAATGTCTTAGAGAAATTAGAGATACAAGGAACATATCTAAACAAAATAAAACAAATAAAATACAGCAAGCCAAGCCGATAGCCAACATTGAATAAAATGGGGAGAAAATCAAGCAATTCCACTAAAATCAGGGGCAAGATAAGCCTGTATATTCTCTCCATATCTATTCAACATAGTACTCCAAGTACTAGCTAGAGCAATAAGACAACAAGGGGATACAAATGGGAAAGGAAGAACTCAAAGTATCATTATTCAAAGATGATATAGTAATATAATGGATGCAGAAATTCTACCAGCGAACTCCTAAAGCTGATAAAAACCTTCATTAAGTGACTGATTAAAAAGACTGAGAAAGAAATCATGGGAGCAATACCCATCACAATAGTCACAAATAATACAAAATAACTTGAAGTAACTCTAACCAAACAAGTGAAAGACTATATGACAAGAACTTCAAGTCTTTGAAGAAAGAAATTGGAGAAGATATCAAAAAATGGAAAGATCTCCCATGCTCATAGATCTGTAGGATTTACAGTAAAACTAGTTATCTTACCAAAAGCATTTACAGAGTCAATGCAATTATCATCAACATTCAAACACAATGCTTTACAGACCTTGAAAAAAAACTTAACTTCACATGGAAAAACAAAAAACCTAGAATAACCAAAACAACCTTGTAAAATGAAGGAACTTCTAGTGGTATCACTATCCCTGATATCAAGCTCTATTAGAAAGATACTATAAAAATGCATGGTATTGGCATAAAAATAGACAAGGGTTCAATGGAATTGAATCGAAGACCTTGACATAAAACCACACACCTACACACCTATGGATATCTGATTTTTTAAGGAGCCAAAGTTATACAATGGCAAAAAGAAAGCATCTTCAACAAATGGTGCTGGCATAACTAAATGTTAGCTGTAGAAGAATGCACATTGATCCATATCTATCACCCTGCACAAAATTCAAGACCAAGTGAATCAAAGCACTCAACATAAAGCCAGACACACTGAACTTGAGAGAAGAAAAAAGGAGCAATAGCCTTTGAAGGCATTGGCACGGGAGACAACAGTGAGAGTAACAATTAATAAGCGGGACCTCTTGAAACTGAAAAGTTTCTGTAAGGCAAAGGACACCATCAATAGGACAAAATGGCAACCTGTAGAAAATAAAAAGATCTTCACCAGCCCTACATCTGACAGAGGACTGATCTCCAAAATACATAAAGAACTCAAGAAACTAGACATCAAAGTATCAAATAATCCAATTCTTTAAAAAAAAATGGAGTACATATCTAAACAGAGAATTCTCAACAGAAGAATTTCAAATGGCTGAAAGACATTTAAAAAAACTTTTCAACAATGGAAATGCAAATCAAAATGACTCTGGTATTCCATCTTATACCAGTCAGGATGGCTAAGATCCAAAACACAAATGACAGCTTATGCTGATGAGGATGTAGAGTAATGAAACACTTCTTCATTGCTGGTGGGAGTGCAAACTTGTTTAGCCACTTTGAAAATCAATATGGAAGTTTCTCAGAAAATTGGAACCCATCTACCTCAAGACTCACTTATACCACACTTGGGCATATACCCAAAGGATGCTCAATGCACAAGAACACTAGCAGTGCCAGAACTTAGAAACAACGTTGAGCTGCCCCTCAACTGAAGAACAGATAAAGAAAAATGTGATACATTAGCATAATGGAGCTCTTATCCTGATTTTAAAAACAATGACATCAGGAAATTTGAAGGCAAGTGGTTGGAACTAGAAAAACAAATTCTCCTGAGTGAGGTAAGCAAGACCCAGAAAGACAAACATGATGTGCACTCACTTATAATTGGATATTACCTGTTAAGAAAAGGATAACCTTATGCTATATTCCATAGCCCCTGAGAAGCTAGGTAATAAAGATGGTCTAAAAGGGGACAGGGAAGAATATATTTCCTTTGGAAGGGGGAAATATAAGAGACCTTCAGGGTAGCCTGGGGACCAACAAGGATGGGACCTGAGGGATAGGGTTGGGGTTAGGGTGAAGGAGAAGTAATAAAAGAGATATCTTGATGTTGGGGGCATTTTGGGGTTAGGGAGAAACCTGGTGCAAGGAAAACTCCCACGAATCTGTAAGGATGACTCCAGCTAAGACTCCTAGCAATAGTGGATAGGGTGCCTGAACTGGCCATCTGCTGTAACCACATTGGTAATTGTCATCAGAGAGTCTTCATTCAGTGACTGATGGAAACAGATGCAGAGATCCACAACCAAGCACTAGACTGACCTCGGGGAATCCTGTTGAAGAGAGGAAGGAAGTACTGTACAAGCCATGGGTCAAGGCCATGGCAAGGTCAACCCACAGGAACAACTAACCTGGGCTCACAGGCTCTGGACCAACAGCTAGGGAGCCAGCATGGGAGAGACCTAGACCCTCTACACGTGTGACAGCTGTGTAGCTTGATCTACTTGTGGGACTCTTAGTGGTGAAGCAGGGCCTGTCCCTAAGGCTTTGGCTGACTTCCAGGATCCTAATCCTCATGCTGGGTTGCCTTGCCCAGCCTGAGAACAAGGCGAGGAGCTCAGTCCTGCCTCAACTTGAAACGTCAGGCTTTGTTGACACCTGTGGGAGGTCTACTCCTTTCTGAACAGAAACACAGGAGGAGTGGGTTGGATGGGGAAGTGGCGGGAGTGGGGTGGTAGCAGGATTGGATGGGGAAGAGGAGGGAGAGGAAACTTTGGTCAGTATGTAAAATAAATAAATAAATTTAATTAATAAAAATTGAACCATAAATAAATAATATTTCACTTCTTATTTCTAGTTCCTCTCCAAGTGAAAGTTACTGAAAAAAAAAATGAACCTAAATCAGAATAAAGAGAACTTCATTCTGCTTGGTCTGAAAAGAAAGTGAGAAGGACTGTTTCCAAACAGCCCAAGTCAACTTGTATTTAGACAATGAAGCTGTTTGCACCCATCAGAGCTGCAGATGTGTTCGCGGTGCATTGTGTTACCTGGTGCCCCCGTTCCTCTCTCACACTGCACTGACGATGACTTGCAAGGCCATGCTTTACAGGGACAGATGATGAGGAGTGACAGAGGCACCTACAGCCTGTGTCTGTGTCCAGACCAAGGCAGTCCGGCCACTTTCCTCACTGATGAGGGTTTTGTAGTTCCTAGTTAAAACTGGTTGAGGGACCATTGTTTTTAGAAAGCTACATGAATGGGTTAAAACCAGCTTAAAGGTAACATACTAAATTGTCTAGTGTACGTGAAGACCTGGATTTGAACCCTAGCACAATCAACCAATAAACATATAATAAAATCGAAAGAGAGAGAGAGAGAGAGAGAGAGAGAGAGAGAGAGAGAGAAATATAAAATAAAGACACTGTGGTGGTTTGAAGGAGAATGGCCACCATAGATTCATATATTTAAATTCTTGGTTGCCAGTTATTGTAACTACTTGGAAAGGTTTAGAAGGTATGGCCTTGTTGTGTCACTGGGGAGGGAGAGCTTAGACGTTTCAAAAGCCTTGTGAGTTCTCTCTCTCTCTCTCTCTCTCTCTCTCTCTCTCTCTCTCTCTCTCATCTCTCTCCTCTCAGATCAAGATGGGAACTCTCAAGCTCCTGCCACCATACCTTTACTCTGCCATCATGGACTCTAACCCTCTGAAACTGTAAGAAAATTAAATTCTTTTCTTTAGAAACTACCTTGGTCATGGTATTTTTCACAGAATAGAATATTAAGGCACATATATACCTTGTTTGGTTTTGTGATTTGCATCACAGTGGCTTAACAAGATTACTAGTATCAATATTTTCTGTTTTGAGGATGTAGGAAATCCAGATTGGTGAATGTACTGCAGACCCCCTGCAGTGAGAACGAGCGGTTCTCTGAGAGAAAGGGCACGGCATCGGGAAAATCTGCTTAAAACAGCCTGCTACTCAGGACAGAGGCCTTCGACTCCTCAAAGGTCAGAAGAGATGACTGAAATTCGTCCCTGAGAGTCAAGAATACAGAGGAAAAGTTAGTGTATGTTCTGATTTCACAAGAACCACTGGGTGTCACTAGCAGACTAAAGTTAGAAACATTGGAGAGGAGCAACAACAACAAAACCCAGACATGGAGAAAATAAATCGTTTCCAAGAAGAAAAGTAGAAAGTGTCCCAAGGTGGTCGCAGGCAGCACTTAGAGGAACAGTGGGCATGAGTTCTGATCAGCTGCAAAGACTTGTACATAGACTTAAGTACTCTGTGACCTAAGGGATAGAATGATGTATACATAATTTTGTGTGCACCTGGGAAGTAGAGAGAAGTAATTTATTCACTATCCATTACAGCTTTCCAATATTTAATATTATGAAATGACTAACTACATATTAATTTGAGAAAAATAAAAGGAAAAATTTCTCTTTCATTCTGTGTGTTTACTGGCTTGTTGAGTTGGAAACAAATGGAAGGCCAATGGATCTAAAATATTTATTCCTTTAAAAAGTGTCAGATTATAGGCTGAAACAGTGGCTCAGTGGGTAAGAGCACTCAATGCTCTTCTAGAGGACCTGGCACCACAGCAGCTTACAACAGTCTGTATCTACAGTCCCAAGTGATTAAATGTCTTCCTCTGACTTATTTGTGGTAGTGGACATATTTGTGGTACACAGACATACATGTAGGCAAATATGCATAAAGTAAACAAAATTTTAAATGTCTGGATGTGCTAATCAAAGGAAAACTTTATTTCTAATTGAAACCCTTATTTAATCATTTGGAGATACAAGCTGGACACTGTTAATGTGCTCCATGTGCCAAAACCATAATTTGGCTGGAGAGATGGTGTACCTGTTAGGAGCATTTACTGCTCTTGCAGAAGATGCAGGTTCAGTTCCATGGACACACATGATGGCTTATGACCATTTTAAATTCCAATTTCAGGGGCTCTAATGGCTTCTTCTGACCTCTGAGGGCTTCTACATGCATGCGGTACACGTACATACACTCATGCACACACACATACACATACAATAAAATTTTTTTAATCAAGATAACCAATAGATAATGCAAATATCAAGTTCAATCTTTATTATGACTTTATTAGCGATATATCAAAACTAGATAATTACCCTGTGTTTGGTCAATGGCCCAAAAGGTCAGAAGGAACATTGTTCTATAAAATATTACCAGTCATCCTAAAACTATATAGTGAACAGAATAATATCAGGGACATTAACACTGAGCTAGTCTCCTGAGCTTCTCTGTGTTTCACGTACTGAGGTCTATTTCTAAAATATTTATAAGCCAAACATGGTGGTCCACCTGTAAGTGCTTTGAGAGGATCACTTGAGCAATTTTGAGAACAACCTCGACAACACAGCGAAACATTGTCTTAAAAGACATGTATGCTTTGTCAAAAAGAATGTATGCAGTACACTGGGATAAATGAGCAAGACTCTAAAGTTTCAGGTTCCCCAGTCCTTTGGAACACTGAAAGTTTGAAATCACTATGTTAGTATGCTATATACATGTTATAATGTTCAACCGTGGGTTTTCAGCAGAATCATTTTGGAAGTGAAATTGTATTGAATCCCTTTTTTAAGATTTTACTTCATAGATCTAGAGTGCAGATTGGAAACAAGATTTTTTTTTTTAATTCGTAGGCAAATGTAAAGCCTAGGCAAGGTTATAGGCTACAGCATCGAGGAATCATTGGTTTTTTAAAAGTCTGTATTATTCTGTGTGAGCGGGCACACACACTCTATAGCATGCATGTGTAAAAGTCAGAGTCAAGCACTGTGGACTCAGTTCTTTGATCCTTACCTGGGATCTGGTGCTAGAATTCTGACTGACAGGCTCGCGAGCTTCTGAAAAGTTTCTGCACCCAGATCAGCCCCTCTGCTAACACAATAATCTGAATCAGACCAAATCAAATCATTAGAAAAATCCCAGGTTTAATGAATACCAACACTCACGGATGGCTTTCTATGCCCCCAGAGAGGAGCTGGTAAAGCAAGACAGAAAACCAAGTGTTTGGTCTCTGGATTGCTATTTAAATACCATGTGGGAGTATCTCTGGAGAGGGGTCATAGTTTGGTGGGCTTTCTCGTGGGTGGAGTCTGAACTGAGGCTACTCCCAGGGGAGGGGGCTTGGGATGGAACTTCAACCCCATCCAAACATTCCAGAGTCTTTGGATATATGGATGCCAGGGGCTGTGGTGTAGCCTTAACCCAAACATTCCAGACTATTTGGGTATATGGATGGCAGGAACTGGGGTGGCACTTCCACCTGAACAGTCTCTGTGTGGCCCAACAACGCTTGAGTTCAAGTGATCCACCTCAGTCCCACAGCAGTAGGCTCTACAAGTGCCTGCTTGCTACAGGCAAGTTTACAGAAAACTTTTGAAAACCTCTAAAAAAATAAATATGAGGAATTTCCTCCCCCACACACTCCCCTTCCATTGCAGAGTTTCTCTGTAGCTTTGGAGCCTGTCCTGGAACTAGCTGTTGTAGACCAGACTGGCCTCGAACTCAAAAAGATTCGCCTGCTTCTGCCTCCCGAGTGCTGGGATTAAAGGCGTGCGCCACCACTGCTGGGCGAGTAATTTTCATTGTATTGCTTTTAATATAAGTACATGCGAAAAGGGTAATAGGCAGTTAAAAAATTGAAAGTGAAAACATACCGTCTCCCCTTAAAAATCACTAATTTTTTTAAAAGTTTTTTAAAAAGTGTACATGTATACTGTTAGGAATATTTCCTAACGGAGCCTCTCCGCCTATGCAAAAAACTCCAAACAAACCATCAAAAAATGCCGTGCTCTTGAGTGGCCGGGAGCCTGGGGGGAGCGAAGCACATACAAAATCTGAAACCATGCCTTCCATCTCCCGAAGAGAGTCTAAACCCTGTGGGAGAGGTCCTGACCCTTTCCGGGGGGAGGGGGGGTTTCAGCGCTCGGCTTGCTGAGAGTTGGAGTCCAAGTGCTTGGCATGCTGGGAATTGGAGTACAAGAGCTTGGCAATGCCCAGGCCATGGACTGGGGTGACACTTCCAACTCAATATTACACATACCTGTGTATCTGTATCTCAAGCAATAACTTAATTTGTACTAAAAAGAGGACATTACACATGGGATCCTAAATGCGGTGTCTTTCAATGTTAAGTACAGCATGCAATTGGATATTTGGGTATGCAGTATATGGCTGCAAAGTTTTCGTATCTGTATTGTGTTTTATCCAACCACTGAGCTGAACATCGGCCTAGGTATTATTCAGTCGCTATAGACAATCCTATACATGGATTACAAGAGTCATGAGGCTTCTGCCAATATTTTTTTACAAGGTATAGTCTTAGGCATGAGATTGCTGAGTGCAATTAAACTTTGGGTAAATCTAGCGTGAAACCAATAATCGTCTTGATGTCACTCATGCTGGAAGAGCAGGGTAGGCTGGCTGTCACCATCAAAAGCACTCATAACCGGCCAGGGCTGGAGCAGTAACCAGACTGCCCCAGAAACCAGTACTTCCGATCACGTGGCCTTGCCCGCACCCTTGGAGACTGCGCGCGCAGGCCCGGGACGCAGTGCCCGCCGAGCCGGGTGGGGGCGGGGCGAGGACCCCAGCCCCGGAAGGTGGGTTCTTGGGGTGCAGAGAGGCGTGCGGGCGGAGCTTTCCGGCGCACTACTTCCGGTCTCTCGGAGGGCGGGCCCTCGGGATGCGGTTCGGTCGTAGCCTGGGAAGGGGCTCAATGAACTGGGCCGCACTCTCCTGCCACTGCGCCGTCGGTCATGAAAGCCACGTGTCCTAGAATGGCCGCTGGGACTGCGTCTTGGTGCCGGTCCGTCCGGGGCGCCGCACAGTCTAGCAGCTGCCTTCTGAGCGGAGCTGCAGGGCTCTTCCCGGTGGCAGCCGAACTTGCTTTTCCTGTGGTTGCACCCAGCTGTAAATAGCAGAGGTGTATTAAAAGTTTCCGTCCCCGCACTCTATGATGACGACCTTTAATGCAGCACAGCCCCAAATCAAGCGTATTCCAGGAATTCAGATCCAGGCGAACCTTCTTGTCCTCTTTATAATACCAGACACTGGCGGTAATTTGCTCAGCTGCATGACTTAACATTTAAATTGAGCAGGTGTTTTTTTAAAATATTTGTGGACACAATCTTGTGCATTAGCATTCCTAGATCAGGAACCATCTTTCCTGATACATGTATGCTCCGCTAATATAAAGACCTCTATGCATTTTTGCTGAACGACTTTTGTGCCTTTCAAGATGATTTTTTTTTAGGTCACTTGTTCTTATAAATCGCTGGCTGCTAATTACATGAAAGCAATATCTAGTTAGTTCAAGAGGAGTAATGAGCCTTTACATGCAGTGTCCAAGCTAGTAGTCATTCATCAAATGTAGCTGGCCGTATGTTTTTATTCATCCAAAGTGATATAAAACTAGCCAAAGCATTGGGCCCCCCCCCCCCCTTAAGCCTAAAACCAAGTGTGTCACCCTGGAGATAAGCACTGGGATAATGTGGGCCGAGTGCTCCCTTGCTCTTAGAGCGCCTTAGTCATTGCTTCAGAGGAGTCACACGTGAGTACCTTTACTTTCTTGTCGTCTTCTATGTCCAGTGCATGTTTACTTGAATGAATTGTCTGCATTAGAAAGGTATCTAAAACGGACGGGGACTTAGCTAATGTGTAGTTTTATTTTTAGAAGTCTCACTTTTAGGTACCTAATTTTAGAGATCAACAAAACAACAACAAAAAACCCACCATTTTTCAAAAAGAGAACTATGGAACAGAAGCCTGCCTCTGCCTCTGTCATGCTAGGATTAAAGGCGTGTGCCACCACCACCTCGCAGAACTAAATTTTTTAAAAAAGAAAATCATCTATTGCTCAAATTGAGTAGTTGTCTAACTACACTTTATTTTATTTAGGTAAAGGAATCTGGTATCTTAGCTCTATTGTACACATGATGACTGACTATTCTTGCAAAAGCTAAGTGCATGGAAAATGTTCTCATCACAACATGTTAATTATGTGTGGTAACTAATTAGCTAGATTTTGTCATTCCACGTGTATGTGTATTTCAGAACATCATATAGACTGAAAATACATACAATTTTATGTCAATGAAAAAAACTACACTTTTTAAAAATTCTGCTTTTTAAAATAGAGGAAATATGTAGGCATATGTAGGCATGCATGAACAGTAGTGTATCAGAGTATCAAAATTTAAATTCTTAAGAGTGAGCGCATGAACTCATTGCCTAAATGAACTGTGATATTCACAGTAATTAAGAATAACATGGTGTTAATTTCAAGTAATTTATCTCATATCATAAATAGTACCATGGATGGTGCATAAAGAAAACTATTATTTGAAAGATAGTTCTTTTCTATGCAAGACTGTAATCATAGCTTTTTGAAGCTGTTATCGCATAGAGCCTTCTGTTCCTTATCAGCCCCTCAGAGTACACTGCAGTTTTTCTTGGTCTGAGTCAAACCTTGTAAATGTTCCATGCTCAAACACTGAAATTTCAGAAGAGGTTAACCTGTAGAGTTAGTCTGCATCTTTTGCCATTTGCTGTTTCATGGTCGTG